CAGTATTAAGAACGTATCTAAGTTGCAAGTGCCAGAACTTGGAGCACTTAAGTACCCGCACCCTTCGATCCATCATTTGGCTTTACTCCTTCCAGAGAGAAACACTGAGTTCTAGGCCACTGTGTGCCTTAAGTATCCTTTTAGAACTTGGCGTAAGCTGTGCAACCTGGTGAACAAAATAGGAAACTGCCCCTCTGACACATGAATAGAAGAAAATAAAATAAACCCATCTACAGATTGATCTGGGAGTGTGGGCAGTAGACAACACCCAAATTCATATATTTGGTCTAGAAACTCGCCCTACTAGAAATTATGACTGCAAATAGTTTCATTCTGAACTCACCGGACAACCGTTTCAAACTCCCTCAACCCAGGTTTTGAATGCCATTGCCCGGACTGCGTGACGTGCCACACGTGTGAAAGCCGGAGCCGGGAAGCACGTCTCCGTTCTGTCCCAGAGCCCGGCTGGGCCGCCTCTGGGCCGGGCGCGGTGGGCCATCAGTGCCGCAGTGCGCGGTGAGAACGTGTGTCCCCGGCTCTAGTCTCCTGCCTGCAAGGAGATCCCCGGGACGCTGGCCCGGGTGCGGCACGAGACTAGGCGAGGACTCAGAGTCCTCTGAGTAACCAGAGTCTAACCTACCTCAAGGCTCCATCAACGCAAGTTAGTACTGGACTTCTACGCTGTACAAAATCACAAAGGGAAGAAAAGACACTCTGTATTCCAGGCAGCAGGCACGGAGGCCGGTGGCTGGACCTGGGAGAGCCGGGACCCGGGGTCCTCGGGGGGCCCGATCCGGCAGGCCCAGGACAGCAGCGGCAGCGGCATCCGTGCGCGGGCCCACGGCTGCCACTGTGGCGAGAAGACAGCCACGTGAGTTACATCCGTGGAGCACTTGCTGTCCCTCCACCCACTGGCAGAGATGGTCTCACCTCATCGAATGGACACATGCAGAAATGAAGTGAGCCAGACACGGCTCTACCCCTGTTAATATAGCCTAGTCCCGAAGGCCTCCGAGCCCTCAGGTTATGTCACTCACCTGTCAGCGACAGCCTGGTTCCCCTTCTGCTCCGTAGGACCACGGAAGGCGCAGCCAGAGCCATGGCTCCGATCGCTCACTCTTATTCCGGTGCCAGAATCATAGGGACCCAGAGTTGAAAGGCACCTAGAGGACCTCCGATTCACCCCAAGGTATGCATCCCTACAGAAACATTCCCGCAAAGTGACCACCCCTGAGCACGCTCCTAAGGCCGCCCCAGGGGACCCACCATGTTGGGACACACTACTGAGCAGTGGGTCCCCCGCTGAATTAAATGTCACACGTCCCTGGATACCATAATTTGTACGTATCTCGATGGTGAGTGAACACAGGTAGAATGTACCAGCAGAAAATGGTGGACAAGTTTACTCAGTTACTGGGGTGGAGATGTTCTATACCATAGAGTTTCTGAATTTAGGTTAAATCTCAGGTACATCACGCTTACTCCCCTCACTAACTCGTCCACCTCCTGGGAAATTTCAGGACAAAAGCCAGAAAGCGAGAAGCAAAGAGAAGAGACAGTTCTAAAAATATTTCATTCTCTGTCGGGCTTTTTCATAAAGCTGCCCCCAGAAAAGGCAATAAGAAAAGGTCCTATAAATGTATGAAAGGTTGTCCTATTTTTCCCTTGGGCAGTCACAAAACGCCAGCCGCACCGGAGAGAGATGGAATTTTTGGGACCCTGCAAAATGTCTGTGGTCCTCTTCAGAAGGCTTGGGTCTAAAGACAAACTCTTGTTTGAAAGGCTGAAACTCTGAGGAACCAGAAAATCATCTCGGAAGCTAACAAAAATAACCGGGCTGTTTCCAGAACCGAGAAAACAACCGATGCTCCCGATACTTAATTTGGTTTGGAACAGGCCCACTTTCCCATCTATTTAGATTTCCCATGCTACTTAGATTTCTCTCACCCCGAAGATACACACCGACTTCCCGATGAACAGAAAACAAGCATTATTTGTGAAAACGGTTGAGAAGTCGAAGACAGCACGAGAGACCATTGCTAGCTATCGACGTACCACATTCCACGGTGCAGGGCGACAAGTCTTGCCTTTAGCGGTCGCAAATTCTAAAAGAAAACTCAGCGGGTATATATTTGGTGTTTTCCTAACCAAAAGAGCGGGCTAAAGCAACTCTGAAACTACACGGAGCGTGCATTCCAGGACTGAACAAGTAACGATACCACGTATCGTGATCACGGGGCAGGTTCCTCATGGTTAGAGAAGGGAGTTATTCAGAGGCAGCATGGCGGGCCACAGCGAGCCCTGTGCTGTGGAACTGGCATCAGAGGCACCGGCACGAATTCATGGTTTTGGAGACTCGGAGAGACAGAAATAAAGACGGAAATACAAATGCAGAGAAAGAGAGCTACAGACAAACAGTTACAGGGGGAGACGGGGAGGTGGCACACATACCCACACACCTGCCTCCTAGCTCTGTTACCTGACGGGGCCTGGAAGCAACGACGAGCTGATGGCAATGCCACTTGGTGCCCAGATCTTGATTTCTAAGCACAGTTCTCCACCTAAAGGGACCAGGGCTCCCTGAGGAAAATGGCTGTTTCTTTTTTTTTTTTTTAATGTTTATTTATTTTTGAGAGAGAGACAGAGCATGAGTGGGGGAGAGACAGAGAGAGAGGGAGACACAGAATGCGAAGCGGGCTCCGGGCTCCGAGCCATCGGCACAGAGCCCCACGCGGGGCTCGAACTCGCAGACCGCGAGATCGTGACCTGAGCCGAAGTCGGACGCTCAACCGACGGAGCCACCCAGGCGCCCCGAAAATGGCTATTTCTAAGACTGGAACAGGGAACACACTAGATGGGCCTGTCACGTGTTACGGGGCCAGAGAGCAAAGAAACGCGCGCCAAGAATGACGGGGACCGTCAGAAGGACGCAGAAGTCATCCCGCAGGCCACGTCGGGGGCAATCTGCACAACAAAATAAATGGGCTCGGTACTGAATAAGGAAAGAATATTTGAGCCCACACTGAAACGAATAAATGAGCAAATAAACAACGAAGAGGAAGTTTAGCTTTACAGAAGAATTCTGAATGCTAAACGTAGAAGGAATGTCAGCATTAGAAAAGTCACCACTTTGGTTGGCACCTGGCACCAGTGTCCTACTGTCAAAGAGTGATCTGAGGATAGTAACACCAGCAGGTGCACGTGTGACGAGAAGCGTACTTTACGTGGTCTCAAATTGCCTCCTGTATCTTTTACTTCCATTTTTTTAAATGTTTTTATTTATTTTTGAGACAGAGAGAGACAGAGCATGAGCAGGGGAGGGGCAGAGAGAGAGGGAGACACAGAATCCGAAGCAGGCTCCAGGCTCCTAGCTGTCTGCACAGAGCCTGATGCGGGGCTTGAACCCATGGACCGTGAGATCATGACCTGAGCCGAAGTCGGCTGCTCAACTGACTGAGCCACCCAGGCGCCCCACTTTCATTTTTTTTAAGTGAAACACTGACTTTTTAAAAATTCCATTTGTGTAAAAACTTGAAAATATCTCACAGAAGACTTATGCAAAATGCTCGTCACAACACTTGGGAAAAGGAAAACCCCGGAAGCAACCCAAATGCCCATCATCAGGAGAAAGGATATATAAACTGCAGTAGATTCAGGCAAGGGGCTACCATTAAAGGGAAAAACAAATGAAGCCCAGCCATAAAGCATCAGAATCATTTGCGGTTCTCAAAGCTCGGTTTCGAGACCGCCAGCATCACCCGCAGGTTTGTTAACCATGCCAGCTCCCCTCCCCCCACCTATTGGACTAGAAACTGAGGCCGGGCAGGAGGGTGGGAAATGGCAGGTGGGTTTTAGGAAGCCTCCAGGTGAGTCTGATAGGCTCAAGTTAGAGAGCCACTGTTGTGGATGAATGTCAGTAACACCTGGGCAGGACGGGCTGGTGTCAGAGCACAATAATATGTCCCTTTACAAGTGAAACCTGGGGACACCTGGGTGGCTCCGTCGGTTAAGTGTCCGACTTCGGCTCAGGTCACGATCTCGCGGTCCGTGAGTTCGAGCCCCGCGTCGGGCTCTGTGCTGATGGCTCGGAGCCTGGAGCCCGCTTCGGATTCTGTGTCTCCCTCTCTCTCTGCCCCTCCCCCACCTGTGCTCTGTCTCTTTCAAAAATAAATAAATCTAAAAAAAAGTGAAAACTGGCTAACCAGAATAACAGTGCTCATAACCAAAAAATATGGTAAGTCTATAAAAAGAAAAGCAAGAAATAACGAATCCAAGTTACTCCGTGGAGGAAAGAGGGTAAAATATGGGGAAGGCAGCCTCTGAGAATGACGGTGTTTTACTTCTTCAATTAGGCAGTGGGTACGAGAACCTCCTCACAGCTCTTTTTTTT